TCGTATGACGTTCATAGTTTACGTGCACTTGTAGCGGCTACTTGTATGTTGCTGTATGCCACTATTGTGTGTTTCATATGTTCTCTGATCTACTTTTCCTTCCGCGTCACTGTTCAAAAGGTCGTTTTTCTTCGTCTTATCTTCCCTCTCAACAAAATAGTAATTTTTTTTGGCTGGTGGATGTGCTGCGATACGTTTCTATTCACCTTCACCATCCTGCCCCTGCGTGTATTGCTGGCAATCGGACAAAAAGTATGGGGATTGATCACTTTCAACCGGTATGTCAAGCGGCTCACTTCAGCTCATTTGATCGTATGATTATCATCTCCTCAGTAATTTACCCTTTTTGAACACGAGACTAATCGTTTTAAATAGGTGATAATCGTTCTGAAATTTTTTAATTGTATGCGAGCTGAGTGACAACCAAATAATTTTGTGAGCTGTTTATTTCTATTTGATGTATCACGAATCTAGGAAGCCGCTAAGCAACAATCAACAGTGCGACATACTGAGATTGATTATCGTCGTTGTTGTTTCGACCTTTCTGCAAATGCTAGACGCCAGCAAACTATACCATATGATTAGGAGCCAGGTATTAATGCACTGTTCTGCCTCGTTTCCCTAAGTGCGAATTGACTTAAGATTTCGAGTGGTCCTGTTCTGGAGTTTCAATGGGCAAACTATAACGTCTCTGACGGTCGAATAGCTTTTTTTTGTACATGCGGCAACTGCGGATGCAATGTGTAACATATCCGGGCTTTACGTTCATGTGCGTGTGTGTAGTATTGCAAGATCACTGTAGTATCCACCACGAGCCTACGACTTCAAAGAGTGTTCTGCGGAGCCCATTTCAAAATTTGTTTCAAGTTTCTTCAACTTGCTATTGTATACATTGCCAATATTTTCTGATAGTATCGATCGTGAAGGGAAGGCCTTGCAAAATATGTCGGTGGTCACAGGCTATATTGATAAAACCACAGAGTTGCTAGCATCAAGTGCAAATGATAGAACAATTGTATTGTCTTTCTGCAGGACACAATTCGATTGTATGTGATCTTCAATGTATTGGAGATTTTGGAAAAGTACTGTTCTTGGTTAGGGCAAGATATACTGGATGCGCTATTCTCCCGGCAACGAGCGAAACGCGTATTCATCGTCGCAATCGGGTACACGATATTGCACTCGCTCGTCTGCTTCTGTCAGGTAACGACGATAAGCTCCTGTATGGATTCTAATCCACTGTATCGTCTGTGCTCGCAGAAGTAGTCAGATTTATAGAAGCCTGGATGGGGTCCAATTGGTTTATTCAATTATTGCCGTCCCCGGTGTCGTTATGCGCTTTCTTATTCGGTACTCTATCATACAATCCTTACAACGAGCTCCTTATCTTGCGCACTGGCAGGTCATGGCGTTGCAGGTAGCAATCAACTCCTACAACCGTGCGTTGCTGACGATGCTGGTATCTAACCAGGTATGTGCTCGATTTATTTCGAAAGCTCTACAATTCTACAATTCTGGAAGTGCTCATATCTCGAACTGTCTATCATTTGCTGACGTCGGCCATTTCAATTGCGTTTCGTGCCCTCGCAAGAATTTGAGGTAACAGCTAGCTCGCATCTTATAGTAGATCTCAAACACACACTGTCTACTAGAAAATCATCTGAATTTGGCGTATACTCTTTGACAGGAACAGAGTAGATTCTCACACAGAAATTCGGACTATGATTACATTTAAGGATGCCGTGAGCCATGATATTCTTTTTGCCCTCCTGTTTGGAGTGTTGTGTTTGAAAACTGATCTACTAAATCATAATTCAGCTGGCCCCCAGCTTTCATCTAACAATGTGCATCTCACGGATTCTCACTCACTTAACAGTTCGTGGAAGTGAAGGGAAACGTCTTTAAAAAGTATGGTCGTGAACAAGTCTACAGAATCGCCTGTTACGACATCGTTGAGCGGTTCTACTTGATTACGTTTCTCGTTCTGATAGCTATGCGGAATCTCAAGGAGGTATGCAGACCCCATTTGAATTCTTTGTACTATTTTATAAATCCGCGTATATGTTGTTGGAATCACCGACAACAATTGCTTCAGCGTTAGCGATTGGCACTTTTAGCCTGGTACCTATCTCAGAATTTGATAACATGTACTGCATAGTTGTATTTGTCTATGCAGGTATCATCATATCAACCTCAGATTCGGTATCATAAAAAATCCAGTCTAAGCTCAACTTCGTGCATCTAATACAGCTTGACTGGTCGTGGTATCAACTAGATCGAGAGGCGTATCTTTTCCTGGGAGTAATGATGAGCGAAGTAGGTGTCGACTGGATAAAGCACGCCTTTCTGTCCAAATTCAATGGCTTCTCCTGGGTGGTTTATCAGGACTTGCGCAATGATCTAGCACAGGTAAATTCAAATGCCGGTAATTTTTTTCTTCTAAAGTCTGGTACTCTCGTACAAAGACACAAACAAACAACTGATCTATATAGCGCCTTGTTTATTGCTATTTCATAGTTCTTGTACACGGCAATCCACTCATTACTCTATGTTCTTGTACACTTTATGCGTTCATTGATGTGGGGTGCTCGAAATGCATTCCTACTGTCGACCGTATTTGGTGCACAGGGAGGTCAAATTCCACGTGTCAAGATCTCTGGTATTTGCCCATAGTAGGCTGTACTTTATTAAATAAACTCTTACGAAACACCTGCAGATGTCCGTAACACAAAGCGTCATAGTGGCCATCCTTACGGTACCGAAGTATAGCAGATCTTAGACATATGACACCTCAATATGTTGGTCATGAACCACTAGGCCCTATACAAATGTAAATATGCGTCAGACTAACTTGCATGTCCATAATTTATATCAACGTCCTGTCGCACTACTTCATGACAGGAGTTCGTGCTGAGTTACGCTGTCGATACCCAGGCTGCATTGTCTACCAGTCACAAACGGAAATTCATCGATCAAACGCACCTAGTTTCGAGACGTATAGGCTTCGTTGGTCTACCAATCGCTTGTGTCTTTGTTCGAATCACGATGCAATCTACGCCTGTTATACCATCGGGAATGACTGGTGTGCTTCTTGGACTTTTGGTCTGGCTATGGTATGCTAAATACTTTATGTCCTCTTTTTGTCCTCTATTGGCGTGCGTTTTTCAAGCACGAGATCTATGCGCTGTGAGGTGTCTTTGATCACCCCGAATTGAAACTCATAACGATGAACTAGTGCAGCATTATATGGAACTAATGTGTCTGCCTTTAATCTTGAAATAGCCTGTTGATGGTGAAAGTGATATCGTCGATTACCATCTTGGGTGCTTCATGCCAGCTAGTGCAATTTGACCGAAATTCTAAGGTATTTGTTCGGCATTGCATGTTTACTGTAGATCTTACTTTAAATTCACTTATGTCTACTTATGTCTCGTGGTATTTGTGCGCTCTGTAAGCGTCATGAAGATTTCAACGACTGATCTTTGATTTGCGTCTAGAATACTCACTTACCCACACATACAAATTCTTCCTCACACTATCGTAATCTTTGTCACAGGTGTCCAATACTAATGAGAAGAAGTCAGGAACGGGCTTTAAAGTCAATTTAGCAAACCCTCCGGACAGAGCAACCCCTGTGAGTGCAAAGGCTCCCTCCCCTCCCGCAAAGCCCTTCAGGACACCGCTCCGTGAGGTTCCGCCAGTCCAATCTTTTACAGAGCAGGGCCACGTATGGGAGAAGGTAGAGGCTGATTGGGACGATGCAACACAGATAGTGGCCAGACGGGAGACTATTGCTTGTTCGCCTAGTGAGAAGCGAATGAACCACCGTGTGAGGTCCAATCCGCCATTCGTAGGTACCACTCGTAGCAAAGGGAGGAGTATTGTGCGAAGCCAACTGCCGCCCAGAGAGCCGAGACATGGTCACTTGAGGACTGCAGGGAGCTTGGAATTGAGTTCGGGCAGTAGTATCGAAGACAGTAAGTGGCAAGTCGTACTTGAGTCAAAGATGTATTTGTTAGCGAGCTTGTAAGATGTATTTTCTGTGCTGCTTTTCGTCAGGCAACGTTTTGCTGAGTATTGGAAATAAGCCAGCGGCAGAAATTTCTTGCTGTGTTGTTACTTTCCTTCCATGGTATCCTCGTTTCGCGCGTTGATAACTCTCATCGCCCAAACTTTTATGGCCAAACGATCAATATCTAACAGGCGTATGGTCTGCCTTGATAAGGAGATTGACTCTCCCAACGTCGCGAGAATACATGCAAGCACTTCGAATCCCTGCAACCTAAAATTTATATACCACTACCAGTAGGTTTGCCCATGAGAAGAAGCCCTACTCTCCCGCCGTCGCTAGATGACCTGCAGACGACTATCGCGGCAAACTCATCACAGCTGAACACGCTCCAACGCCGGACAGGACGGTGGCCGTCAGACCTGCATCGCTCTGTCGATGATCAATCAGGTTGGGGGCGTCACCGGAGTTCCAAAGGTGTGTTTCGCATTGTAGAGGGAACTCGCGATGGTATTCATTTTTCAGTCATTGGGATCTGTAAATTTTCAAAGACATTGACATTGGAGTCGAAAACTTCAAATTATAGTATACCGAGACAAAGATTGATATTGGCAGAATTAGGGCCCACTTATTATCCGTTGCTAAGTCTGAATATCCATGTTATGGGGCGATATCTCGTCCTTTAGAAGTATAGCGATCCAAGCCAACGAGTACCGTTCTAATATTCCTTTTCTAGGGACCAGCAACTCCAAAATCAAGCAGACCACACAGCCGCTACAACGCATGCGCCGACAAACCTCCGACGTCGTGCCACGTACGCACAAACAATGCTCGTCACCTGAGCTGGTGGCAGACCCAGACATCAAAGCCGCCACTCTGTTGTCACGGAATTCATTCTTCGATTCCTTGCCTAACTCGCCGGTACAGGCATCCCCAAAGAAAGGCGCTGAGAAACTATCACTAGCCTCAGTATCGACTGTCCCAGTGTCGGGATTAACTCATGTTATGCGTGTACATTCGGGCACGTCGCAGACGTCGAGGCATTCGTCTATCTCGGTCTCTCCGCGTATGAATATCAGCCAGAGAGCGATGACCAATCGAAAGCACCCTGCTAAATCGAGTGTCACGGAGTGGTATGGTCGTAGTATTATGATACTGTGTGTGTGATCAGTTCCCTGTATAATTCGCAAGGGTGGACACCGAAGCAGTATGATTAGATGTGTTGCCTTTGTTTGTGTCGTGTGGGTGACTGATGCCTTAACCAATTGGTCCGCATGATTTTTGGTCGAGCTGAAGCTTCTGATGCTGCGTCAAATGGACCCCAGATGCATTCATTTCCTTTCTACAACCGGATCGGTGTGGTGCTGATGTTGGTCTGCACTTTAACCCAACACGTGCATTTCTTCTCCATCTGGTACTGACTTTATCATCTAACACGTGACTATCAGGGCCTCGAGTAGCCCGCCTGTGACCGGCATGATTCTATCGCCCAGAGAGACCGGATATGATCTTAGTGATGGGAAACCTGTGCAATCTGAGGTACGCTATTGTAAATTCATCTTCTCACATCTGCTTTCTGGACAGGTTTCGAACTGGCATTGCGTTCATATGGTTACACTTTCCGGCTATGAACGGTTTGGGCTGTTTTGTTACTCAGTAGTGGGCCTATTGCACTATTTTATTCGCAAGTTCGCTTTCATTAACGCATATATGTACTTACGCTTTTGCGCGAACGGCAGAAGCAAGCATCGAGTGACAATCCGGATGATTTAGTTCCTCAGCCAGTGTTGTTGCACGAGGCGAATTCTGGGCCCACATTCGCTAGCTTGGACAAGCTCGCTGCTGTAAACGACTCAAACCAGCAGTCCGAATGAATAAGACGCAAATATAATGCTTAATATCATGAGCAATAAACGCGATATCTCTTGATTGGAACGGAGATGCAAGTGAACGAGTGTCTGCAATAATAGCGACAATTCAATCACATGTGCATACAGAATGAAGAAAATGGTATAAAAAGTAGTATTAACATAAGCACCCGATTATATAGTTGTTGATATAATAGGATTACAATCTACCGATGTAAGCCAGGAGAACACAGAAAAGGCGCTTGACACTGTCAAATCATTAACCGTTGTTTTCTCCCCGCCAACGAACCAGCCAACATGCAAACGACGAACACGTTTCCCCTTCATTCCTCTCGAATCAAAGTGCACAGTTCAAAGCAATTTGAAGGTCGATCTTTCGTCCTCTACAATTTCAAAAAAAAAAAATCCTAGTTAGAGACCTGCTGCTGTATTTAATGGCTATCCGAAAAAAGGAATTGCAGTCACGTTTTGCTATTATGCGATTGCGCTGTGATAGAGTTCTGAAGCGCACAAGAAAAAGTCCTTGTTTCCGGTAGTTGATTCGAAACCCTTCGAAGAAAGTGTGTTCGTTGGTGTTTTACAAACACATTTCATAACCCGAAAAAAAAAATCCTTGTATAATTAGATTGCATAATGAACACTCGTTCCTTTGGCACTTGTAGCTGATATGGTATGTACTTGGCCCTTGGTAATTTCTATTGTAATTTTAATAAATCTTTTGTGAAGGATTGATAACGACAATCCAAGTAGATCTCTCAAATCTTTTGCAGCCTTGTATAATATCCTTGAAGCTTGTCATTTCACGGATTGTGGATCACGGTGTATAACAGTTTACTTCACTCTCAATAGTTAAAATACAGAACAAACAAATAGGTTTGTTGAGTGCTTCGGTGTACGCACTTTAATCGCATCCTTCTGCAATGTGAACATTGTACGCGAAGGACGAGTGCATCTACCACTGCTGAAAGGTATCTTGCAAAGGGCACTAGTGTGCGTTATGATATAGCCCTCTGTCTATGTAGAAGGGTATGTATGCATGCAATATGCATTCTGGATGTATTATATGTGTATATTTCAAGACCATTTAGCAGAAGTAGAAATTAAGAGAGAACGGACAAGTCCGTAAGATTATAAATATTTACTGATCAGTTCAAAGAGTGGCAAGTGGCATTCATCAAAACTAGCCCGCCAAAAAGTGATATATATATATATATTCAAAAAATGTTCTTGAGCACCAAATCAGTATTCATATCAAGCCATAAGGACGTATGACTACTGCTAGGAACTGGTGTATAATGAATCATCGTCATGACCGAAGCAACCAAGGCTTCCGAGGCTGTCTGCAGTTGTGCAATACATCTCGTGCCTATCTTAGCTGAGATCGAGAAGTTAGCCAACAAAGGCGGAATCACCACACGCCTGAACAAACAACAAGAGAGCTGTCTAACCAAGTGTCTAGTCAGTGAAGAAGGGGAACTGCGGTATCATGCCAAATGCATTACTGAACATTTGGGTTTATCACCAAAACGCATCAGGCGATTGAAGGCCAAGGTGCCTGTCGCTGTCACACCTGCCGCGCAGAAGACGTCGGCACCGGTGACTTGGCCATTGGAGAGCGACTTCACTGAGAACGATGTTCAATGGGTATGCTGTATTATTCTGCCTCGTTTCATGGTTCGGCTTCCTGTACTGATGTCTTAGTGGCTGTTTCTGTGTCTGCCCATGCCTCTTCGCTTATCTACAATCGGACGGGCGACGCGTAATGTAAATGTCAACTCAGGAGTGTAGATTTGCGACTGTATACGTGTACGTGAGTGAAGACTTCCACGACACGACAAATAGTATTTGACTCGATGTTAATCGTTATTCGATCTTGTACGTATTCCTGAATCTTTGTAACATTCTGCATGATGGCCGGACGCTGATCACGCCTGTAATGCAGGTAGTTAGTGATCGTTGTACCAAGATCATAGATCTATGCTTCGTAGAAACGAAATGTTTCCGACATGCTTATATCCTGGTAGTCCTTCAGTCGGTTTCTGTAGTATTCATTAGCGTCACAACACTCGTCTATCTCCATCGCTAGTATGCCCTAGTGCAATCTTTATAAGCAATCTTTATAAGCTAGCTCTACACTTCCAGACGCAGCAACGGAACAAGCTGCAAAGGGTGGCTCGCCTTCCATTGCTCAATAAGACTTACGTCATTCTATACATTTTTACCCGAAGCTGCTGGATGTCAATGACAAGATGTTCGAGAGCTTGCATCACTGCATATCTACGGGGAGAGCACAAGATGGGCTGGAGTATGTGAGTGTGTAGCTTGCTGGTCTGTGCGTTACATGTTTGGTGATTGGCATACCTTGCTTAAGTACAAAAACGTGTTAGTTCAGCGAAGCTTCTCAGAAAGGACTATAACAAATGCTGTTTTGTGCTTACGGCGAGGCATCTGTGGGTATCACCCAAAGTTATGAATAGCTGTCAAGCTAATATGTACATGATTGTTCTTGAATTATCGCGCACAATTAAGCTACCTCTGTTGGCGGGGTGGATAGCAATAGACCCCACAACTATTTCAACATGAAAGTTGCCACTTTCATCAGCACCCACGGCTTTACAGTGCTGGTGGTAGGTACACACAAGTTTATGTATGACCTTGATGTGAAATGCGATGATGTGTGAAACTTGTGGTCCCGAATTTGAACGCGAAGTCTTGTCCTTAAACTCAACATTATATAGCGAGATTCTCGTATAGGGTTATCACCTATCTTAGAATATCACATGAATACCTCATCGATAATCCCAATACTACTTTGCGAATTTTTGCCGATAGCGTGAGCACCTCTTTTGATATCACACGGCGCGAGTCTGTCGATAGCGTTGCTAATGCGACAGTGTTTCATTATCTCCAATACAGCTTCACCAAAGCGCTGGTGAGGAACATCGTCGATCTGGCAACGTACAGCGAGAAGCCACCTGACGCAACCGCCAGCGATGCACCAACGACCTCCTGAGTGGCACCGGCGGTCCCTATGCGCGCGCACAACAGCACAACCTGTACGAATGTGCTTTACAAACGAGCCTGATTTTTTTGTCGGTAGCAGCTGATATGCTGAAGAGATCTACCGACGAGGTGTAGCTGTTACGGTATGATCGTTACCAAGACGGATTGCAGACGCCGGCAGCCCAAGTTAGCCCTGTAGTTCTTGTAGACTATGCTATATTCAGGCAACTACACGTTCATATATCCGACCTGAGCCCCTTCAGAGAGGAATTGAGTCAAAACAAATACGTATGAACCCTATTCGTCAGAACGGTTACGAGTAGTTGGAACTACATCTATTGCTACACAGCAAGACAATCTTTTTATTGTAAGCACAGCAGAACCCAAACTCGCTACAGTTATCCAATATACAACCGTCAGTAGCCCTTGTACAATATGCAAGACTAGGCTTGTTTGGTTTTGAATATTGGAGCGAATCAACTCTTTTCCCCGGCATAATACCAGTCCAACGCCAAGAGAGAGAAAAACTGTATGAGCGGCCAGTGGAAACCCGCATATGGCCGTGGATCGTGCAGCGTCAATTTTAGCTGAACATGTTGACTCGGCTGCTCCGACGACGACGACTCTTGCTATTCACAGTGCTTTTGATAGTGCCATCACCAAGGAGCGATATGACTAGTGCTCTGCAGTCAGGGACTTAGGGACTGTAAATCTCGAGTAGTAAATTGTTCGCTGATACAACTGGACAGATGGTGCAGATTTACCTTCTGCTTTCATTGGAAGGACTCTCAATGACAGAGTATTTGCAAAGACACTGTATACGTGTCAAATGACCATTAACAGGCTGATCTCGGCGCCTGCAAATTAGCCTCTCATTTCCAAGAACCTCGCTTCGAAATCGAAGCGAATTAGCCCGGTTGGCGCCCACAGAGGATTGTTTCTCAATATGTGCGCGCTCCTTAACTAAATGGTAACCTCTTCATGTGCAACTACCGAGGAAGATCCAATTTGAGTACACCGTAGCATCCAGGCTGCTGAATGGTATCCTCCGGGGTGTAGGAGGTAATGGGAAGCATTGATATCTTAGAACCTTTTTTGCCTCTCAAGAACTAGCTAACTTTATTAAACATAGAGTCACCAACCCTCCTTTCCTCTTATCCTCTGGATCGATTTTGTCGAGAACGTTGACCTCGCAGTTGTTTCTCCTGAAGCACTCGAATAGCTGCCGTGTGCGAAATAAAACCGAATGTGCTTAGTACATACAAATATATTATAATCAGGCACATGTATACAATAAGGACTATACACAAATATACTATAATCAGGCACAGGTATACAATACGGACTATACAGCTTTTGTTTTTGTAAGTCTGAAACGCTTTTGCAAGTCTGAAACATGGGATCAAAGCATTTAAGAACATCGCTTTAAAGAAAAGATACCGTGCAAAAGGTGGATTTCATGACCGAATACACATAAGCCTAGTCAGTTTTACATGTGATTGTTCACATAATAGCACATCAATTCGCAAACGTGTGGAAAGTGGCGTATAGTTCACCTTACCTCATCTGAGCCAGCGAATACAGTAGACTTGTCTGTTGACCTATCACGGAAAGTCATGTATAGTGGCGGATTCTTGGGACCCTTCATTAGAGTCACACAGGTTGTAACGAACGGCTCTATCAACTCGCAAAGCCATACAGTGTCTGCAGCCAGAATTAGATCGGCATCTCGTGGATCATTATCCTGGGATTTCCAAATGAGCATAAATATTGATTGCTTTTAGACAGTAAGTGATATTTAATTTTTGTCAAGGTGCGTTTTCCAAAACGCACGTATGCATCAAAAAGATAAAACAAACAATTTTGGATTCGACGGATACCGTGCCTTAGACATATTTTTTAGGCTGCGTGCGAATAAGCTGTTGTCGCCCGGAAGGCAAATTTACGAGAATTTAAACTATGCGTAACTTTGATTTTCAAAGATTCATCTCCATATTCCAAAATAATCTGCATAAAGCGAACGTTTATGTTTCATGTAGAAGGCTTTAAAAATCAATAGGTAAAATGCGACATGTATTGAATACAATAATAAACTTGTGATGGCGTTAGTGTCTCGTGATATTCAAAACACCATTTCAATGAGCAGAAAATCAATATGCTGATATTCGCCGCACCTCAAATCAACGTAATTATCAATGTAATTTATGTAATGAGCGCGAGGAAAATGTTAGTCTCGCACCTGAGCATAGGTTCCATGAATTGTATTTCAAAGCACATAATTTCATGCATAGACATTGATTAAAATAGTATATACACAACTACAACACATAAGTATGGACCTCTCCGAGCATATGCAGGTCGATCGTAAGTGGCAATTTGTACCGCGATGCGCCTTCGAGATGTACAGGCGCAAAAGATACTACTTACGATAACTTGCAAGGCCACATCAGTCATCCAATCCAATGACATGGCAGATACAGAGCCTTCTCCGACTCGTCTAGATCCTTGCCAGGCACTACTTGACGTAGGCGTGTTTATATCAGTTGTACTGTTTTCATTCTCGTTGTATATTATGTTAGGCAATATCGATCCCATCACAACTGCTTCTAAGTCTGTTACAAGTACGTTGGCGCCTAAAGCTGACGCTACCAGCGAACTGAAGGCAGTACCCGCCCCCAGTTCGACGACTCGCGCGCCCTGTTCAAAGTGTGTTATAGGTTTAAGACACATGCATCACGTACACCCGGAAAGTTTAGCCACTGAACCTGAAAACATGCTAAACCAACACTTTTTAAAATTACAACTATCAAGAGCGGTTAACTGTAAAGGAAACGATCAGATTTAATAGCTAACTTCTTCATTGTACCTGAAGTTTGTCTTTGAGGCGATCTTGTAGGACGTTGCGGACCATCACCCAGGATGCCTCCCATATTGTAAATCCCGTTAATCCCGCTGGGCTATATGATTGCTCAAAAAAGTTGATATCTACCTCTACATCATCATCTTCTGGATTCAACTCTCGCCCCTTGATAGTAAGATCTTTACCATTGACTCGAGTGGTGCATAACATTCTGTATCAGAACAAAAGAAGAAGCTACCGGAGGTGCTCGTTCATAGTAACGGTGTAATAGTAAAAATAGTCCTCACAATAGATTTTTAGCGATAAAGTCGGGTCCAAACCCTATACCATGCACGGCGGATGTAACCTTGCGCTGTATACATACCGAACTTCTTCGTATGTTTTATTCTGTTTGTTTTATTGTTCAGGCTATGATTTTATTTGTTTTCTGGGGACCATAAAAGAGTCGGGCCGGGCAAGACTCTGCGACTTGCGCTGGACTACGAAACCTTCACAGTTTATTATCTCATTACTACGTACAGAGTTCAGCTAACGTATCATGCGGTTGCTTTGCTATGAGTGCGAATACAGGTTTATTTGTTTCCTGGGACCACAAAAGAGTCGGGCCGGGCAAGACACTGCGACTTGCGCTGGACTATTTATTTATTTATATATATGTAGTGGTTCACGAGAAACCTTCACAGTTTATTATCTCAATACTACGTGCAG